CAGTTCTATGCCAAAAATACAGGTCCACACAGAGAACAGAAGGGACTGCTGACGTTACCATACCCGCTCTTATGCCAAAGGCAGTATCAATTTGACATTGACTGGACAGTGACATATTGCTCTGAAACATCATCACTGATAACATCTCAGGACAGTACCGACAAGAGTATGAAAAGAAACCCACCCCACACATCAGCACTGTTCTGACCATGACGCTGCAAAGAAAGCTGAAGAAAGCAAAGCTGCATCTGGTACAGATCTGATTTAAATACAGTCACAATTCACATTAAAGGCTGGTCGTCATTAACACAAGGGCAACCGGAAGCAGCAGTTACAGCAGAAATGCAATATTAAGCAATTAAAGGCAATGTTATGATCAGGGCAAGTAGTTGAGCTTGGAGTGTAGAAGATGCAGCAGAACACTTCTGCTGAGTAAGTCTCTTCTAGTCCTTAGTGCTCAACAAGCACCAGTCCTGGCCTGACTTGAAATGAACTTCCCAGGGCAGATCTGTGGCCGCATCATACCAGCAGCATGAGGACGGTACTGGTTTATGGTCTTGCCTCAGACCAAGCTCCTCAGGTTTGTGATTCCTTTCTGACCATTTTGATCAGCAGGTGACATCCACCTCTGCCACCCTGGGCAGCAGCACTGCCTTCAGGGAAGGGCTGCTGTTCAGAGACACAGGGGCTAAACCAGAGACTACACATCGCCACCCTTTGGGACGTTGGCAGCTTCAAAAAAAGAGACAAGCGTTCAAGACACAACCTAGGGAGGGATATTTCTCTTTACCAAGTAGCTCCTAAATCTTTAAGACCAAAAGCCAGTTGGTTTCATTTTGTTAAGTAAAGAGGATCTAAGGATTGCAAGAGTCTCTTTTAGAAATAATAACTGATCACAGAGTCAAATAAAGTGGCAGGACAAACAAACAAATGCAGATCTAGGAATACAGCTTTTGATTTTTAAAAAGTGAAAAAGCATAAATTTCAGACATAAAATTTGACAACTTTATTTAAAAAAAAAGGGTAAAAACTTTTCAAAAAATTTTTTTTAATCCAAAAGGCAAGATTACAGACTCACAGAACATGCAGAGTTGAAAGTGACCCACAAGGATTATCAAGTCCAACTCCTGGCCCTGCACAGGACTATCCCCAAGAGTCACACCATGTGCCTGACTGTATCATCCAAACACTTCTTGAACTCTGTCAGCCTTGGTGCTGTGACCCCTTTCCTGGGGAGCCTGTTCCCGTACCCAATCACCTTCTGGGTGAAGAACCTTTTTCTAATATCCAATCTAAACCTCCCCTGATACAACTTCAGGCCATTTCCTCAGGTCTTGTCACTGGTCACCACAGAGAAGAGATCAGTCCCTGCCCCTCCTCTTTCCCTCACAAGGAAGTTGTAACGGCAATGAGGTCTCCCCTCAGTCTCCTCTTCTCCAGACCGAACAGACCAAGTGACCTCAGCCACTCCTCATACAACTTCCCCTTCAGGCCCTTCACCATCTTCGTTGCCCTCCTTTGGATGTTCTCCAAGAGCTTAATATCTTTCTTATATTGCAGCGCCCAAAACTGCACACAATATTCAAGGTGAGGTCGCACCAGTGCAGAGCAGAGCGGGACAATCCCCTCCCTCGCTCGGCTGGTGATGCTTTGCCTGATTCCCCCCAGGACACAGTTGGCCCTCCTGGCTGCCAGGGCACTGCTGACTCATATTCAACTTGCCATAGACCAAGACCCACAAGTCCCTTTCCATGGCAGTGCTTTCCACCATCTTGTTTTGATAACCTTTACAAGGTCAAACAGGATATTCTCATACCTAAAAGGCAACAAGGAAAAATGAGGCAATATACAGATAACTAAATTTACATATAACCCCAAAATCAGCCAATTCTCTGCATCAGTTTTCAGTGAGAACCATCAAGTCTTCATGGAGCAAAGGCAGAATGGCCACTGAAATGAAGCATGGTGTTGCACAACTCCATTTTGTAACTGGAAGGGCAACTGTGTTTGCACCCAAGGGAAGATGCTGATTACCAGCTCGGAAGTATCACTGCACAACTGCCCCAGGCCTCTCTTTCCTTAGCATCCAGTACTGGCCAGAGACAAGGTATCAGGCAATAGGGACCTTAATTCTGGCCCCAATAATCTGCTCTTCAGTAACTTTGAAAGGATTGGCATATAAGGTTAGGTGGACTCATTTTACAGTGCATGTAACATCTTTGAAGATCACCGAGACTAATAAAAATGATTTATGCAAGACTAACTAGCCTGATCTCAAATGTATGTCGAAATTTAAAAGCACATAATGGTAGTAATGTAGAAAGTGACCCAAAATACAGCTTGGGTTTATTAAATGATAAGTCAGACCCTACTAAAGAGTCTTTCCTCATGACAGTCAGCAGATAGGAGGCATTGGATATCTCTTCATATGCATCTTCTGGCAAAACAACTTCTTACTGGTTACAATGGGGAAAAAGTGAACCATTAAGACAGACAACAACATACAGTACTAACTTTCTTGCTAGTCATGTGAATTTGGATGTTATCATGCTGGTCAGAAAGAAATGAGAAGCCTGAGGAGCTCAGTGCAAAGGAAGACCAGATCCAGTAGGCTGAAAAGAGGCCCATGGGGCTTCTTCAAGCTTAAGGATCGCAGACAATATTTTCATTAATGACAAAACTAGTATTCTAAATAAATTTATCATTCCCTCTACCTTTATCATCCTCAATTCAGGATCAGTAATTCAGGTCTAGGTGGTGATCTTCATGGGTAGAGGTAAAAATAGGTTGCAGTAAACTCAATCACACAAAGATCAGGTCAAGCATCTAGAAACAAAAGCAAAGCATTTCACCTATGTGCTGTGAGCTTAGCAGTTGGAAGCGAAAAAGGGAGGGTGGAAGAGGAGTTATTCATTAGTAATTTTTTTTTATTAGTTATGAATCATAACTAATGAGACAACAATTATGCTTGAGACAATAAAAAAGATGCACCCTAGGGATTGTACTCAGATAAGTATTTCCTAAAAAGATAAAGTAGTGTTAATATTTCCCTCTAAAAAGGTACCTGGTGAGACCTCTGAAATAATTCAATTTTCAATTCATCTTCTTTGAATGTGGTCAATCAGGATGTGCAAAAGGGCAAAGACAGGTTAGTAGCTGGGTCAGAAAAATGCTCTACAGAAAAGCCTGACTCACTTAGCCAAGAAGGAAGGCTGGGGAAAAGCTGGAGAACGGACAGGCACCCCCCCAGAGGCTCATAACAGCTCAGCAGACAGACATTTGGGGATGCAGCACCTCCCTGTTTCTGGTTAGGCTTTTTTGCTTTGTTCTGTGCTCAGGTTTTTTGGGGATTTTTTTGATTGGATCCATTCATACCAGGAACTAGAACATAGTTTTGCTTTAGAAGGAAGCGGATGCTTCATCTAGTCCTGCATTCATTACCATCATCTTTCTTTTATGCTTGGCCTGTCTTAGGGAAATTCTTCATTATTAGGCTGTGATGTTCTAAGAGATGCTTAGGGTGAAAATCAGTGAACTTCTGTGATACCTTATCTTAATATAAACTTCAAGTTATTATTATAATAACAAAATTAAGAGAGGTATATTTCAGTAAATAAAATAAGCAAGCCTGCACTTGTAGTGACTCCTGTTTACTGTAAGGAGGTAAGATGAATAAGCTTTTATGGAAAATGTGCTTGGACGCACCAACTTCGGATGCACAACTCATGCATTAGTAATGTTTATGGACTGACTCATTACAAGCCAGTCTTTATGAACATCCCTTCTGGAAACATACAGGTTTGCAAACAATCAAAAACAGGATGTCCAATATACAGGAAAGTTTATTTTTTCACTAGTATTCCATGAACTAGAACCTCTCTGAATTCAAACACATCCTTGACCAGTGTTTGAAGGGACAAGATTTAACGTCCCAATATAATGACAGGCCACAAAGTGAACAGCAAATGCTCTGGGCTCCTTATTTTTCAACAGGCTTACTCCAGTTCCTGAAAGGACCTAAACTCCAGGACATAGAGGCCTTATGTTTGGAATTATGGCAAGAATCTACCCAAATGATACCAGGCACCACTCTAAAGTGAAACCCAGAAGAATTTGAAAGAAACATCATGAACTCCTTGAATTGGCATTTCCCCATGAAAGCACCACTGGAAAGCATCCAGCTATTGCCCTGAAACAGGGTGTAAGGACATGCATATAGCAAAGTGTGAGGCAAGGTGGTGTGGGAAGACTGAGCACACAGGGAACTGTACAAAGGAAGGGCTAGTTAAACAAGTTTCGCAGGACTGGTTGTAGACCCACCCATGTACCAAAAAACCCACCAGAGTGCCAAAGTGGCTATTGAAACATCACGACCTGCATCGACCTAAGCTGCCGGCAGGAATTGCTGCCAGCATTATCAGCAGGCAGCGTGTGAAGTGTGACTTAGTGCCAACTAGGTCAGTACGGGTTACAAGACAAGTAGAGAAAGCCATAGGGTGTACACAGAACCTACAAGTGCATCTGCAGGACAAAACCTGAAGACAAAAACTCTGACAAGCAGACCTGAGCCCTGTTCCTACTACAAAGTACTGTAGTTGACCATCCTGCTACTTGCTTTCCTGTAGCTTTGCTCCAAGCTGACAGCCAGACAAAAGCCTTTGCCATGATCCTAGCTTCCAGATGCCCGTCTGAGGGATGGCATGCAATCTCAGCAAGGAAGTTACAGCAAAGTTACAAAACCTGCATGACTACTTGAGGCAGTGGCTCAGGAAGAAGGGGAGTGGGAAGCAAGATAATGCTGTACAGATATGGCCGTTGCCAGTGCACAAGATGCCTGCTAAAACATGACTGCTTTTCAGTTGACACTGATGTATCTACTGAAATACATTTGAATGCTGCTTGCGAAAATTGTCATGTTGACAGGCACGGAGATTGAAATCAAGTATCTGGTATCCAAAGAAACCCAACCATAGGGCTCCAATTAAGGAATCTGTTGTCACAGTGGGTCAGAGCACAAGGCGGTGTGGTCTGATATCCTTTTCCAACACGAATCCTTTCAGGAAGGTAAGCAATTCCATTTCTGGCAAAACATCCCAGGTGCTTGAGATCAGAGGTTTAGAAGGAATTCCCAAGCCAGAGATTACATCTCACCACTTGCATCCAGTGCCAAGGATCGTTCTAACCTCCCTGAATGTATTCAATCTCTTTTTGAACACGCTGATACTTTTGGCTTCCTCAATATCCCCCACTAGTCTAATTCCAGATGCACTTACATTTTGCATACTGAACTCTGGTATCTTCCTTTCATCCATTTCTAAAAGTCTGACTGATCATTTCATCAGGTCCTATCCCTACGCAATGCTGATTCCTCCTATCCTATCCTATACCACCTCGGCCAGAGTAATAGTTTCCTAAGGAAGTCATACAGCCTTTAGTCTTGTATGGAAGTAATTTCCATCTCTTTGGACCCTTTCACTGTTTCTCTCTATATTCTCTAGCTTCATTAGATCCTTTTCAGGGACTGGAGACAGCATTCAAACCAAATGCATTTATGTAGCAGTACACCAATAATTTGTTGTGTTCTCTTCCTTTCCCATTAATTAATAGCCTAATTAAGTCCTTCAGTACAAGGGTTTGGCAGACATTTTCAGGGAACTATGCATAATGCAGAAGAACCTTCCCCAAATACCACTCCAAAGCCCCTTGTGTTAGATGTATATTAAGATACATTCCTCCCATGTGAATTTCTTCATGTTCTGGCAACATAGGCTTTACTTATTATGGAAGGTATATTTAGTAGTCTAATTTACAAGCTCCAACATGCTTGAAGACCAGTATCACATTTACTACCTTCCATTTCTGGGTTCCTAAGGCTAATTTAAAAATCCCACAGGACCTCTAGAACATCTATTGGAAACTCCTTTAGACTTCTGCAGTCAATACCACCTGGGCCCAGAGGACTTTATCAACTGTCCTAAAAAGCTGCACATCAATTTCAAATGGTTCCTTGGACTTACCTTTAACAGAGCATGGCTCTTACACAAAAATTTCTCAGTTCCTCAGCTCTGAACGTTGATGCAGGCAACTTGGCTTTTCTGTCAATCGTCTCTTCCCAGAGAAGAAGCTAGAGCAGCAACAGAAGCATCCTCTAACTCAAGGCAAAATACATGACAAAAGCCAGGATTTCCTTGGATATTCATCTGCTCTCCCTAAAACCAATTCTTTGTTCACATTTGCATTGCCCAGCACACACCAGTTAGGAAATGTCTTTACATTTGCATTGCTGGACCTCTGTTAAATCCCAAGATTAGACTAAAAGATTAGGCAACCACTCACCTTTGAGTCAGGTACCCAAGTCCTGCTCAAGAGATAAGACTTCTGCTTGTCTCATTACTGAGGTCCCTTACTGAAATTTTGGTCAGTGCTTCCTAGTGGATGGCTCAGGATTCCCTCCATCGCACAGCAGCTGCTGCAGTGCCCAGTGTTCCTCAGCCACCACGGAGGAGACTTCACTGCCTTCTGCTGCCCCGAACTGCATGTCTGCATATCAGGCCCATTGCATGAACATCCAAACACCATGTGGATGACAAATTTTATGCCTGTTAAGAATATTTCGAAGTACGATGCCTCTCTGCAATAGCAGCATCAAGAGCTTTATCCCCTGCCAAGTCACTGAACACAAGCAGCGCTGTGCTCGTGGCACTGAACAGCTGTCTGCCAAACTCTGAACAGATGAGACAAGAAATGTAAAGAGATAAGACTCACAGAAATATATTAGCCATGATTTGGCAGAGCTAGGTTCAGTTAGACTTGATCTTAAAGGTCCTAAATGATTCTATCCGAGATTAAAAAGGAAGCAAGAATCAACCTAACTCCTTAAATATAGTTACTTCATTGTATTTTTAATAGGTTTTCAACAGCTATATAAGATAGAGAAAAAACCTGAGACATAGACAGAGCATGTAACAATCAGCTATTCAAAGCTTACCTGCACTTATAACATAATTTGCATACTAAGTGGGTATAGAGACAAGGCAGAGATCCTTACAATACTGTAAGAGTTAAGACTAATGGACTAAGACTGTTTAATAACTGACCTATTCCTTGTGTTTATTCAGGGTTCAGAATAGTAGTACCACTATTCCACATTAAATTAGTCATATCTTTCATTGCAAAAGCTGCCTGGATTTTAGCAACTCATCTGATTAGAGCCAGCATGTTGGAATTGCATCACGTTTAGCTGTGGATATTCTACTTGCCAAGGGGAGGAATTGAGGTGAGAAGTCAGATTTTTATCTCAGGTTTCATTTCAGCAACTCCCATGAAAGCGTATGGGTAGGCTGTACAAAGACTCCTTCTGTGCCCATACAGGTGTACACCTCTATCTCCTATGAGTAAATCACACTGCATTGCCTGCTCCATTCTTTATGGCCTTTATCTCGCAAGATTTCTGTCTTAATTACTTTATGTGAAGCAGCAAGCAAACAAGGGCACACTATACCAGCTCCCTGACAAAGCTTCATGTTCTTGGCAGGTGGGCACAGATAACCAAACTGGGAGGAGATACACGCATCCAGCAAGAAGAGAATACTTCTCTATTAGCTGAAACAGGATGCGTCTTAACCATAAGTGTCAAAGACAGAAATATGATAAAGTAGTATTTGTTTTAGCCTTGCTGTTCAGAACTCACACAAAACTGAGGGACCAGCAAGGTAATAAGAGCATAGACAACCAGAAGGGAGAAGCAAGCGGTTTTTAGTACTTAGTTGCCATAACTGGCATCTGCCAGGATTAGTCAGTGACCCTTGCTGAGGAGCTCAGGAGTAAGTTAGACTTCTAGGGGTGTACTAGAACTCAAGTTTACTTCAACTATTTATTTTTTAATTTGATACTTATCACCATTCCCAGAATCAGCTAACTGTTTAGCATGAAACCAATATCAGGGTTTAAAGAAAGAACAGAAACACACAGGAGTGACTAAAACAGAGCAACAATTTGACCACTTTCCTTCAGACTAACTCATACACTGCTCTGCACTTTCGACTGTTTGGGATTTAACCATTTCCTTCCTGCCTAGCCACATGTTCAGCAGTAGGACCTTAGAGTTCCTTCCCCAAGGCTAGATAAGCAGGAGTCTGACTCCTCCAGCACCATGAGGATAGATTTGTGCATAGATTTGTCTTGCTCCTTGGTCATGTGTCCTGGGAGAGGCAGCAAGCAAGTAGCCTCCTTTTCTTATATTTGTCAAGGACTCAATTCTAGGTGTTGCCACACCAAGACAGACTACAAGAGCAGAGCCTTCAAAACTTGAACTCCATTTAGTGTTTGAATTCCAACTAATCATACAGTTGGTCAGGCTGAATCATAGAATCATGGAATCATAAAATGTCCTGTGTTGGAAGGGACCAACAAGGATCAAAATCCAACTCCTTGCCCTGCACAGACTACTCCAAGAATCACCATGTGCCTGAGAACTTTGCCCAGATGCAACCTGAACTCAGTCTTGGTGCCATGACTGCTTCCCTGGGGAGCCTGTTCCAGTGCTCAACCACCCTCTGGGGGAAGAACCTTATCCTAATATCCAACCTAAACCTCCCCTGACCCAGCTTGAGGCTATGTCCTCAGGTCCTGTCACTGGTCACAAGAGAGAAGGGATCAGTGCCTGCCCCTCCTCTTCCCTTCATGAGAAAGCTGGAGACTGAGTTATGCTATACCCATCCATAAATAAAAAAGCAAGTCACCCTTCTGCAGTTAGGTTTTTTTAGTGTCAGCTGAATTTACTTTTCTACTCTTCATGTAGCTGTGGTAACTCAATATTAGCTGATACAGTATTATATATAGAGAGATATATACTCTGGTTTAGTCAGCCATCTTCCCTCCCATTTTATACACACAAAATGTCCTGAAACATGGCCTTGAGGGTGACAGTAATAGGCATTTTGTAACCTCGAGAAAGCTTCAGATAGCTACTTGTTACTTGACATTTAAGATGGTAGTTCTGGTATTTTCTGTTCTTTAAAGCTAATCACACATAGCTATTCTGTACTTCCCTTACGCTTTTCAGATCCAGCAGAATCTGAGAAGGGAGATGGACGTTTGTAAAGCAGAAAAAAACCCTGGAATAGATTGAAGACTGGTAAGTGGCAGCAGCCAGCGTAGACAGACATCTTGTAGCATATCACTGATGTGGGGAAGAAGTATAAATCAATTACTCATTTGCAATGGAAGAAACTTATTTAAAAGGGATGACTGATAACAACCCACTGCCTCTCATCAGCCCGAGGCCTCTTTCATAAGCTCCTTCTCACACCAGTTATATTTCCTGTGGGTTCTTTAGCAGTCATGCAATAAAAGAAAGGTTTGATAAACCATACAGTACAACAGAAAAATAAGGCATGTAGCACTGCTTCTCAATATTCAACACAAACTAGAGAAGCAAAACCGGCAAAAGATAACAATTACAACATTAGAATAATTATGCAGAAATTTTTCAAGATCTGTAATCTAGACAAGTAGTTGGGAAACATTTCAATAACAACTACTTGAAAAGATGTTTCTGTAAAGATTTTCTTCACAAGGTTTTCCCTGAAGAGACTGATACCCTCCTCCCTCTCCTGAGAATGCCAGAAATAGTGTTTCAGTTCCCACACCGTAAGTAGTCTCCCAAACAGTTTAGAATATGAAATGTGTAGAACAATAACATTTCTCCTCATTAGTTGCAAGCTTGAGAACTTATATAAATACTAAACAGACAACTGGAGTACCACTAGCATTTGTATTCATTATGCATTAAAGTCTGGGATTAAAAAAAAAAAAATTCAGAAAGAACAAGACCATTATAGGGAAAAATTCTTTTTCCTTAGAAATATGGGATAATTATCTTCTACCCCAACAGATGACTAATTGAGATTCCACACTCTGTTTCATATAATGACAATAAGATCAACAACAAAGTTAAGTTTATCATTCCACGTTTGCCCTTACAAGGGAGATGTGCTGTTCCTGCCTGTGCTCCAACACTGGGGTGAGCACACATTCTCTGTGTCCCCTGCTTCACCCCTCCTCCCAGACCAGCCTGCTACCAGGAATAATTCCCACCCCTTATCATATTCTCTGTGTAAAGTGGAAAATCACTCTTAACCTGAAACAAGGGAGGGCAGGCGCTGAACAGACACAGGAACAAAGAATAAAGCTCTTTTACAAGCATTTGCTCCATCATAGGAGGATAGGCCTAACTGGCCTATAAAGGTGAGGGCATAGAGTTTTGAAACACAGACGTTAAGCTGAGGTCTGATAAAATTACAGATATACAATTCTTCATTAAAGACTTTTTTAAAAGCTACTTCTTCAAATAGTTGTGCTGTTTTCAATATGAAATAATTAAGAACAAAGTTTCCCTTCTATCAAGCAGTGCTTTTATTATATTAGCAAGCTCTGAAAACCTCATTTGAAAAGCAAAGCTACTAAAGTTTGGGGGAAAAAGTACAATTCTTATGAGTTTCATATTGTGCTCTCTCATGTTCTTCTCTTTCATTCTTCAGTTCTTACAGGCCATAAAATCATCCAACAGTCTTAAATCAGTGGCAGGAAAGATAGCAAGAACACACTGAAATAAAGTCTTTCCTCCAGTATTGCTGTCCAGGTAGTGAATTGTAAATATCTCTGTTCTTTGCTCCAGATCTAGACATTGTGATAGGGCTCTGAGTGATACTAATAAACTATTACTGCTCAGTATCCAAGCATGGAAAATGGTTATGCTGTGAGCTGAAGAATCATGCAAAGCACAGCTACCATTCTGTATCTGGACTACTGTAGGAAGAGCTGCATTCTAGCATAAGAAGTAATGCATTTCATTTAACAGATGTTGACAACAGTGATTCCCCATAAACACTAATGGCAAGCAGAAGAGAGCACGCAGTAAAATATGCCTAATCCTATAAGATAATCTTACCTAGACAAAGAGAACAAAGTTCTCAGCCCTGCTAATACACATGGCAATGGCTGTAGCAGTTCCCCTTTTATAGGGTCAACCCAAAAGTTCTCAAGAACAATACCCATATCCTTAGAATATCAAACTACCACTCGGTATTTTACACTGCTCAAAGTAGATTATTAGAATTCTCTGAACTCCAGCCATATATTCCCAAGGGAGCAAGATGTGTTGGCTAAAGTAAAATTCTGGCAGCAAGAATGACGATTCTCTCCCAGCCCCAGACAACTGACCTGCCAGGCAGCCTATGGATGGTGGAACTGCTATGAACATCCACCTCCACCACAGAGTCAGAAAGAATCTCCAGGCACTTGACTTGCACTCCAGTGTTTGGGACAACATGGCAACTGTCATGAAACTGAAGTTATTGTTCCAATTTAAAATTATTGGTCATTATTTTAATATCTTTCAATTATCTAAATAAATCTAAAATTCATACATTTTCATCAGCTGTAAATGAGTTAAAACAAACCTCAAAGAATCCAATAAGAATCAGTAAAAAACAGTTCTGCTACATTCAGTGCAATTTAGAGTGTGGTTAGTATTAAAGCTTTTAAAAATCCAAATTAGTGGTTTCTGACCATCATGAATCTTGAAGGGTTTTCTATTATTTTGGAATTGGAAAAGCATAGTAGATTTATAGTAGCATTTTTAATACAACAAAAGCCATTTTATTCATATAAATTCATAACAGCACTGATGCTTCCATCATACCACTTAACCACAGGAACAGCTCAAAAAGTGGGTGACATTTATATCTATCATTAATGCCTCTCTCAGTATTATAACTGATGGCTTATACAGAGTGCTTATTTCCTTAGTTATAGTCAAAACTGGACACGAGGTATTTCCTGGCAAAGGACAGAAAAGCATAACACTGTTCATGCCACAGGAGATCTCAAGAGATATTTACATGTTTTTTGTGTACATCAATTGGCATTTTTGAAATTTTTTTAATTTTAGCTTCAGAGGGATAAGAGAACTCAGACTCTTA